ATACAAATAACTCCTTATAATTATTGAAGACTACGCACCAATCAAGAAAACAGCCTTTACTGTGATGTTTCTGAGTACTACCAAACAGCAGTCAAGAGAATTATTTATTCTATTGTAAAAAAACATTAAAATGGCCCTCTTTTACAAATTGGTCTTTATTTTTGGGTCTGTTTAGCATGTAGATGTTTATGAAATTTAATGTTAAAAAAGCAGTTATAGAGATATCCTACTTCATCAGTATCTGTATTAAAAAGTGGGTACTTAGCAATGCAGATCTGTCATTAATGGAAAAGCCAGTATAGTTAAAAACACCTTTTATCATAAGGGTTAATGCACATTAAAATGTGAGGCCTAGGCTATGAAACTGTCATGTCTCAAACTTTTACGTGAAGTCTCTTCTACCTCATTATTCACCATTAATCCTAAGAAATGCAGCATTAACAACATGGTAACATTGGTTAAGTTTATAACGTATTCACATTAAAAATATACAAGAAAAGGCACACTAATTCAAAAGAACTTCTTTAGATAAATCTCACCTCTAATCCTTAACTACTTCAGACAGTGAATATTTTGAACATTTTTTCTCTCATAGTAATAACTACTTAGAACTGTATTTTCTACTCAAAACATTTAAAAAATGCACCAAAATGTTTATACTTTTAGCTTTCTGAACTTAGGGTAGTATATTTTTATTTTTAGAATGGCAAAAATTTGTTTAAATAATTCCAAGTAAAATAGTTTTAAAAAGAAAGATTGTACTGACGCCCTTAAAGAGAAATATATTTGTAGTTATTTATACAATATAAGAAATACCATGTTTTAGGGTTATAACTAGGTCAAAGCACTTTTGTGATGAATTATATGTTTGTGGCTTTGAGCTTTAGGGTGTCCATATTAATCTATAACACATTGTTTTAAATTCTGTTTATTTTATAGTCTGTCTTGAAGGTACAACCAAACTGTGCCTGCAACAAAATCGTTTTAAGTCTAAACAAATTCAGTCAATATCTAAACACATCTTCAATAAAATTAGAGAAAAGGGAAAGAATTTTAAAACACAGACCAGGAAACAATCACAAAATATAGGTTTAATTTTAAACTTAAAACAAAACAAAACAAAACAAAAAAACCAAACTACCAAGAAAACAAGAGTACTTCGGTAAGACTTGCTATTCTGAATAATGTAATATCTTTTCTAAGTTCTTTAAACAGTAGAAGTTTTAGAACACAGACACTTAGGAAAAGAAAGGCTAGTTCCTTGGGCATGACTATCCAGTATGATACAATTACTTCAGGATGACAGAAGCTGAACCTTTCTTACAATTAGATTTTAACAAATGATTTGCCACTAATAGAAATGGGGAATGTGTGAATGACTTAAGTTTTGGAAGGTGAAAGCAAAAAAAGCAACTAAAGTTAAGCTCTTGATACTATAGAACTGAGGTTTGCTTATTTTTTAGAACCAAAAAGTAAATCATCTTGTACAAAGAAAGCTTGATATTAAGTCTACAAACAGAAGCATAACTAATCACACCCATGAAATACTGGATAACACCTTAAACACCATATTGCTGTTAGTGGTCATACAAGGCAGAAATGTACTTCTAAAATACTGTTACACAGATGACTAATGTTAGTATAAATTATTTACATTAAGATCTGTTTTAGTTTGCTGGTGTAACCAAATTTTTTAAGGTAATCCCTAAGGGTAAAATAGAACATAAGAGGAGATATTAGATATTAGGTAAAGACTCCATTTGACGCAATCATAAACCTTCAAGATATTTTTCTCAAGTCACTGAAACCACTTTAGGTAGTGTTCTGGTGGTGAGCTAAAAGTGAACCATTAATCACTAGTAATTGTTACCCTTGCCAAGATAATTCTCTGTAGTTAATGGAAACACCACGAATACAGACACATTTTAAGCAGATGACACATTCTGTCATGCTATTTGATTTTATAAAAAAAAATCATAATAGATCCTCTTAACTTTAAAAGTTGTAGAGGAGCTTTATAATAAATTCTTAAATATACTTATTCTGTGATGTCTAGCGATTGAATAATTTAAACTTGAAAGGAGAACTAAAATTTTGCTAATTACTATCTGCTTTATATTACACAAGGAAATATATATGTATTTACACAAACTGAAGTAAATTCCCTTCTCCACAAATAAGACTTCTAAACAGAAAAAAAACAATTCACAAAGGACTATAGAATATGACTAGATACTCGACTAGCTGGTTGAAATCAGACTTTAGTTCTGATTCTGAAAGTTTTTCTAATAATGCCTTGCAAAAACTACAAGTATCTGATTAAGTTTTACTTCGATTCCTTATTGAGGATAAATTTTGTTATAAATTTTATACTCATTTACTTAAAATGAAAATGTTACTGAAGTGAAAGTTAGGTTTTTCCATGTGACCTAACTTTCTTTACCACCCATAAATGACAAAATAACATTTTCTGTCAGTTAATATGTAATAATTTTCTGATGTGCTAAACAAAGTTTTCAAATTGCTTAAAATGCATTTCTTGTTTAAGAATAAACTAAACAAGTTTAACAAGTATAAATTTAAACTGTTAGTTCCCAGTTAGCATGTATGAATTAAACATTTCTTTTTTGTAAACTCAGCAACTATATTCACACATTAAGAGTTGTCAGTGAGCTCAATCTTATTAAACTACACCCTTTTAAAGAAAAGTATTTTAAAGACAACAATGAACAATCCAAGTAAAAAAGTAAAACATCTAAGTGTTAGATTTTTATCTATTAAGAAATTAAAAATGGTTAAGAATTTACTAAATCTTATCATTTCCCTATTTGTGGAATTAACAAAAGTTTCTCTCAATGTATAAAACAGCATAAACGTTTGATACATACTAGTATTACTCTTACTTTTTCTTTCACTTTTTGAGCATTTTTTTGAGAAAAGAAATGGCCAAAGTGCTTTAATTTTCATTTAGCATGATAATCTGGCTTACCTCTGACCAATAAAGAAAATGTGGGGATACAAGTAAAATTTTACATGAACAGGAGGGTTTGCTATGTTGCCTGCTTACAGATTTTAACTCAGATCTTTCTAAAATACCAAAAAAACAAAATTAATGACATCACCTGACTGTGGACTGAAAAACCTTTAATATCAATCCTTAGTACCTCAAATAACAAAAGGTCATAAACACATTTTTTCATGTAAGGGCCACGCTTGTTTTTAAAACAATCTAAATGGTCTCAAAGCATTCTCCAACTTAGGTGCAAAGTTGAGTGTACGTAATACTTCCAAAGAGTAGGACTGTTTCAAGATTCTCTTTGAAGTCTAAGAATAACCACTTTGTTCATTTCTAAATAAATCATAAAAGTTAACAATTGAGGATTTTTAAAAAGTTTTCCTAGGCAAAAGCCTTTGCTATGGCAACACACTGAACATACACAGGTTGGCTTGTAACCTGTCCTCACAGAACAAACACAGTGAGCAAGACCAAAGGGATAACCAAAGCCACCAATCTGATTTACACGCTTGTAACTACAGTTCCTAGGGCAGTTTTAATTCTTGCCATTTAGGTCTAAGATTGTGGGGCGCAGTTTCATACCTACCCAAAAATGGGTGCCAAGGGCATAAGCTGGCAGGCAAGCAGGTAGATCTTTTGACAGGCATCACTCCACAAGTTACGGAAGTGGATGAAAGCTGAGGGGAATATAAGATTCTAGAATAAAGGCAGTGGCAGGATTAAGGAGCAGTCTTAGGAAGGGTCCTCGCACTTCTGAAGTACACATGTTAACTAGGTGAGGACAAAAGTATAGTCCTCAGCTTCAAATGAAATTTTAAATCATTGTATCAGTACCTACATGCCAGGGTTAAATCCCTAGCAGTACTGTTAATATCAGATGCTAGAAAGAGTTGGAAACAATTTGTACCTTTCCACAGACATTGAAGTCAAAGGAAGAAACAACACAACTATGAGTTAAGAGCTCAAGATACCACCCTCATAAACCTCTGACTATAAATTTCTGTTATTTGTGCTCTCATTTACTGAAAGTTACATTTATGCTAATTTAATGATGTTTTTGTTTAGGCATGCCTACATTGTTTAAAAATGATGATTAGTTTTGATATTTAAGCTAAAACTTCTAGAACTCTCATCAAGTTTACTATTAAAACCCTCAATATAAAAGAGTTCCGTGAACCTCACAAGTAATGGAAAGCCTACTACTTTGTTTTTTAGTTTATATTTTTTTCTGAAATATTAATGGTCAGATGTGCCCCCAACTGCTGAAGAAAATATAGTATGATCTGGTTTCCC